TTTCAATTAATTTTATATTTGATGCAATGCCGGGTGGCTTGCAATTTTCTTGCATAAAAACAACTAAAATTAAGAAGTGGATGCAAAGAATAAAAATGATAGCTGAAATGCAGAACAAAAAGCTGGAATTATTTTTTTAAATAATGTTTATTCGGTTTAAAAAGTATAACCTGTTGATGTAAATAAAGTCAGGCAAGTGGTAGCAGCTTATTTTGTGAATGCTTACAGTGCAATGAGCTTTTTTGAAACTAAAATTATATGACTTATGAATTATAATTAAAAAAGCTGATGTACTTTTAACTGATTTGAAATGATTGGCGTATCTCGCTAAATTATTAGAAAATTGATTAGCGTATCTCTCTAAATTATTAGAAAATTCAAAAAAGACAAAAATTTATTTAGTATGTTGAAGCAAAGGGTTGCACCATATTGCAAAAAATTGTTTATACGCTAAAAAAGAGCATAAACAATATTAAGCAATGTGGTGCAACCACTTTGCAAATCGTAATCTCTGAACAGTTTTTCAAATATGGTGACAATGGACATGTGGATTTGAGATACCTAAAGATGCAGGAAAACGAGTGGAGAAACGAAGAATCTGCGTAACCTCGGTTTTAAACAACATTGGAATTAGCGAAATTATTTGTTTGAAAGGTAATGGTCTGTTGGAGAGAAGAGGTGGTGATAGCTATAATACAGGATGTTTAAAGACAATTTTATATAAAAAGATTTTGTCTGATAAACAAAATAAATGATAAACTCTTCAAAGGTAGTGACTTTTGAAATAAAGGTTCATCAATGTATAGAATCTGCAACTGTGACTTTCGAGGTTTATAATATTGAAAAACGCCACAAAGTTATTTTCATAGATTTTTTACCATTTGGAGTTAATATGAGTCTCAAAATGAGTTCCATTAAGTTATTAGGAGAATTTTTATTTCTTCATCAGAAATGGCAAAGTTTAGGGCTAGCTAATGAGGAATATTTGTTAACTTCATTTTTTTAAACAAAGATGAAGTTAATAAAATCGAATTAACATTCAAAAGGAAATGGAAAATTTGGACGAAACCGAATGACTGTTTAATAAAGTTGCTCAATACGAAATACCAAAATAAAAGGCGGAATTTGAAATTCAGGATTGTGTCAAACGCAAATGGTTACTTAAGTATGATGAAAACATGATGAGACCGCCCAAAAGAAAAATTCCTTTAATGACTGCGACTTATTATGCATTGGAGAGAAACTTACAATTTCATTAAGAAATATACAAGAGATAAAGATATGTGCGTTGGTAAGTTGAGAGAATAAAGAAGCATGGAAACAAACTAACAAACGTGGATCTACTAAAGGTTTATCTTCATTTAAAAATTTAGGAACACCTTAGGCCATCCACCGTGTGGTATTTTACAACAAAATAAATTTAAAAAAAAACTTGATTTTAGATTAAATGTTGCGCCAATGACTATCAAATTCATTGTGAATGCCATTAATGACTTAGACGTGTTGGTGAAGAATGGAGAATCTTATTACGGAAATGACAATTTTATTAATTTTTATTAATTTTTATTAATTAGAATGTGGTGAGTCTTGATAATGTCTTTTCAAAAATATGGTTTAATGAGCGATGAAGGGGAACATATTGGTAATGATGGGGTTGCACTTACCACATTCTCATTAATTTTTATTAATGAGAATGTGGTGAGTCTTGATTATGTCTTTTCAAAAATATGGTTTAATGAGCGATGAAGGGGAACATATTGGTTATGATGGAGTTGCCATATTGGGATTATATGAGTAATAAGTTGGTGACAAATAAACAAGGTCTAGAAAATTCAAAAAATTTCAAAAAAGTTAGGCAGGAAAGTAGTGTTTTCAGTCTGTGGACAGTTGGTGGATCATTTACCAATGTGTCGTTGGTTAAAAATTCTTGATTGTCTTTAGAAAAAAATAGTTGTTAGTTTGACGTTGAGTTAGGACAATAAAGTTTGTGATAAGAACTTAAAACATGTTTTTCAAGAAACCTGTGTAAAGATTAAAAGTTGCAAGCCAATTTGTGGTTGTTGAGCTGTGCATGGGATGGAGAGAAAGGTATGGTCTAACTTTTTGGCAATGGGTGCTGTTATTTAAATTGGTAATACAACTGTGGAAGATGCAACATAGTTTATAAAAAAAAGTCCAAAATTTATTTAAACTTGGCATAGTTAGATGTGGTAAAGAGAGGAATAAAAATGACATTGGTATATAAACTAGAAAAAATAGCAATTTTTAAAGATTTTGCACCAGTGTTCCACTCGATTTATAATGCGCTAACTGGTAAATTAAAACTGAAATCAAAAGCAACTGGAGAAATATTAATTGCGGAGAATTATAAACGTGTTGTAATAACTATTAGAAGAATACGATATTAAAGTTGATTTATATCTTGTTTCTTTTAAAAATAACTTAACTGACGCACTAACTTGATTTTGCAGTTTAAATATTTAAAAAAAGTTGCAAAATGTGTAAGTAGATAGATTAGCACCATTTCCGAGGATGAAATGTGTTTTAAATGTTAAAGAAATTTAAACTTTTGAAGTCCGCAATCAAACATCTATAATAGATTGTGGACTTCAAAAAATGCATTGTGACAACTAATTACAAGTTCATAAGAAAGTCTTGTCATAGTTCGAACTCCCCTGTATTTTTGTAGTAGTAGTTTTGCAATTGAAGTTTTTATTGATTTATCCAAAGTTTTTAGGAGATACTTTTAAAAAACCTAGAAAAGTATGGTGTTTAAAACAAAAGTTTACTTTGTTTTAAATCAAATCGGTGGTTTATAAGTAACCGACTTTCATTAAATATAGATAAAACAAAAACTTGGTGAAGCCGGTAATATTCCTCTCAAACTGCTAAGTCTTTTAATTAATAACATAATGAATAAAAGGGAATTGACTATAGACTATCTTGGAGTACTTTTAGATAAAAAATCTAAAAAAAATACATCCACATTATATTGAACAAAATCATTTTTTAACAATGAATATTTAAAAAGTTATACTTTTTTTGTTTATTTTTTGTTGACTTATTTTGTTTTTTTGTTGACTTTTTTTGTTTTTTTGTTGACTTTTTCACTGTAATGTTGTCTGGGGTAGCACAACTGCAAAAAACTCAAAAAAAAATTGTTGGCAAAAAAAAAACATGCATGCAAGATAATATTTGGGCAACAGGAATGCACATTGCGAGCCACTCTTACGTCAGCTTGGAGCTTTTTATAAGATTTATATTCATCAAGTAATGTTATATTATAATATTATTTATGTGTTATGACAAAATGTGAGTTATCTCCACTAACATTTCAATCTTACTTTAATGAAATCTCTTATAAATATCCTACTAAATTTTCAGAGAACAATTTTCTCATTCCATAAACCATCTTAAATTAAGCTTGTACCTAATACAATATCAGGGACCTTTTGTTTGGAAAATTTTTAGTTATTTTTGTAATAAAAACAAGAATTAGTTTTAAACTGTACTTCAGTGAGTTTAAAGACTGATTCAAAACGGCATTTACTAAATATGGATTTCAAATATCTTTTTTGAAAACAATTTAAAATGTTTTAAATTAAATAAATTATTTAAAATTATTTAACTTTCTTTGGCTTTTGTTACTAACTGTTTTCATTTTTTGTTTTATGTTTTTGTAATCAGCAATTATATACAATACTTATTTAAGTTGCATAATTTTTAATAAAACTTTTTGTGTTTTATAAATTTCATGATTATGTTACTTTTGCCTTCTTTTAAATCACAGCCTGGTTCACAATCTTCCAGCGCATTGAAAGAGTGTAATTAAAAAACTATTTTTTTGCTGAAGATGTGAAGATGTGAATGTACTTAAACTGAGTTACGTTTCACGTCGGTAATGAGTCAAGTTTGTCTTCTTCTTGCTCTGGCCAGGATTTACTATAACTGAATATCTTCTCTGTAATTATTAACAAATGGCAAAATGAAAAAAATAAAAAAAAAGCAGTATATTGGTACAATAATGACAAAAACAGCGTGTGTCCAATAAAGAAATATATAAATAGTTATCAAACTGCAACAAGGTTTGCCTAATTAGCCAAACACAAAGTATTTTTTAACTGCCCCCAATGCTACACTAATAAAATTAACATAAGGGTACAATGATCCCTCATGCTACGCAAGTTCTGTAACATTAGGCAGCATTATCCCTTATTTTACGGAGTTTTTGTAACATGAGGGACAATTAAAAAGAAAAGGTAACATGAGGAGCAAAATGTAACATGAGGGTTCCAAACGTAACGCCAGGGATCATTGAAAGGTAGCATGGGGGATATCACTACTACTACTACTACTACTACTACTACTACTACTACTACTACTACTACTACTACTACTACTACTACTACTACTACTACTACTACTACTACTACTATTACTACTACTACTACTACTACTACTACTACTACTACTACTACTACTACTACTACTACTACTACTACTACTACTACTACTACTACTATTACTACTACTACTACTACTACTACTACTACTACTACTACTACTACTACTACTACTACTACTACTACTACTACTACTACTACTACTACTACTACTACTACTACTACTACTACTATTACTACTACTACTACTACTACTACTACTACTACTACTACTACTACTACTACTACTACTACTACTACTACTACTACTACTACTACTACTACTACTACTACTACTACTACTACTACTACTACTACTACTACTACTACTACTACTACTACTACTACTACTACTACTACTACTACTACTACTACTACTACTACTACTACTACTACTACTACTACTACTACTACTACTACTACTACTACTACTACTACTACTACTACTGACAAATTTTCATAATATTTTTTTTTGTAATTACATAAAAAAGCATAACAAATTTTAATATCATTATTAGTAACAACAGAAAAATCATAATAAATAAATTTAAAAAATACCATTTCCCCAACCATGAATTGGATCAAATATTGCTTTTACATAAAATGATTTTCCAGAAGGGTTAATTCTAATATCACATTCAATATTGTAACGCAATATTGAAATCTTTCCTTTGAACAGGTAACCAGGTGGTACAGAAATATCTAATTTTCCAATATTTTTTTCTAAAATTTGCAAAAGATTAAACTAAATTAAACATAAAATAAAAATACATTTATATTTAAATCCTATTATATATATATATATATATATATATATATATATATATATATATATATATATATATATATATATATATATATATATATATATATATATATATAGTCTACTTCTACTGAAAGTTGTATTTCAGATAAAACAAACTTTTAAAGTTAGTAAATTTATTGTAGAGATTAAACAAACAAAAATACGACAACAAATTTTTGTATTGGAAATGTTTTTGATGTCAAGACACCTTTATTTTTAGTTTAGTTATTTGGATCGAAAATTGATAAAAATCTTATGTTTCAAACTTAAAATAATTTACATTAGGTAAACAAATATCTGTACACATTAAATTGCACAGATGAACTTATTGATAATTGAATTCAAAATGAATATGTTTTAAATTTATGGTAAAGCTAAAATTTTCAAAATATGACCAAATCTATGCAGGCAAATTTTTTTTAAGCCTGTACAAACTTAAGATATCTGAGCCCATTAGCTGCATTGACATTACTTAAAATAACCACTGGAGAAAAGTATTTAAAACTAAAGTTGCACCTTTCCTTAAATTAATTGATAACAAATTTTAAAAAATTTATCAAATATTGGAGCATGTAATTAAGATTCAGAGTGTATTGAAGTTGCTATAGTTATTTCTGGTTAGAAGTCGTCTATTAATTATATCACGCTCTGTGGGGGGAGGGGGGAGGGGTAATTGGTTTTGTGACAACTCTCACGGGGCTTATTACTAAAAAATTACGATCTTGTGGCATGTGGGGGGATCAAAAATAGTCAAAAATTGTGTGACGTAATTATGAACTCACTTTATGCGGTAAAAGTTTTATGAAAAAATCAAAAGTAAAATTTGCAAAGATTTTCTATTAGGTGAACCTGGTGATTCAACTAATAGCTAATAGAAAGCATGTAATTAAGATTCAGAGTATTTTCAAGCTGTTATAGTTATTTCTGGTAATGTAGTTAAAAAGTTTTATAAAAAAATCAAAAGTGAAAAATGCAAAGATTTTTTATTAGCTGGTGGGGTAGGATGCCATCATTTTAAAAAAAATTCTTGTGGAAAATTTTATAAATTAATTATGGAATAATTACAAATAATAATTAATTATAAATAATTAATTATATAACTAATTAATTACACTTTAATTTTATACATAACTATGTTTAAATTGCTTTAATTTATTATTTGTATGTTGTTTAAATGGTTTTTTGCTAATAAGAGACAACATTTTGAAAACGACTGAAGAATAAGTACTGAGAAGTTATTCTATCATTTATATAGTTCATTTTTACTTTCAAGAACTTTGATTTTTTCATCAACTGAGTTTTTCTCTGATCAAAAAAATAGTATCTAAAGGTTGCCAGGAATATTCTTTTAGATTTAAAATAATTTGCTATGATTTTTAAAAATATAAAATTAAACTATTAATTAGGATTTATCAATTTGCCTTGGTCTCTCTTGATCTATAAGACCGTGGAGTAACTAGAAACTTTTATTAGCTTTTATTATCTATTTTGAAATCTACTAAAAATATTGCTTTCTGCCTAAAAATACTTGTCTAAAATATTGCTTTCCGAAATTTGGAACAATTTAGTTTTTGTTGAAATACAATTTTTTTTTTGGTTAACAACTATATTTCAAAATTGAGTTTAGAAACTTAATGTTATATTAAGTTTTTTAATTTTAAATTTGAATTAATGTACATGCTGGTAAAATTTTGTAAAAGAGGTTATTATATATATATATATATATATATATATATATATATATATATATATATATATATATATATATATATATATATATATATATATAGATATATATATATATATAGATATATATATATAGATAGATATAGATAGATATAGATATATAGATATATATAGATAGATATATATATATATATATATATATATATATATATATATATATATATATATATATATATATATATATATATATATATATATATATATATATATATATATATATATATATATATATATATATATATATATATATATATATATATATAGATATATAGATATAGATAGATATAGATAGATATAGATATATAGATATATATAGATATATATATATATAGATATATATATAGCTGGTCTTTATTATATACATCTTATTGATGTATATAATAAAGACCAGCTACTAGTTTTAAACTTTAAATCTTTTTTCAAACTCGAAAAAGGATTTTTAGTTATCTTACAAAGAAAATTATAATTAAAATTTTCAATCCAATCACCAAAAGTATTTCCAATACAAAAATTTGTTGTTGTATTTTACTAGTTTAATATCTATGATATATTTATAAAATTAAAAAGTTTGTTTTATTTGAAACATAACTTTCAGTAAAATCAGAACTGCTCCCATCTAATATTGTGAAAGTTTTTCTTGTAATACAAATTTATTTTTAATTATAAAAAACATATACTTAACTATACTTAAAAAGTCAAGTCAGGTTTATCCTGCTACTGGTAACATGTAACCTAGTACAATCTGCTTCATGTCCTGCTGCCTTGTAGGATATGCCTTTTTAGGCAAAGGCTAGGAGATGCAAACTCCGACATAAAATACCCCCTTGGGGCTCTTGGTTGAGTAAAGGCTAGAGATGGTGTCTCGATAAAAATACTCATCTTGGGCAGATGTTACATGCATCCAGCTGCTGTCTTGTAGAAAGCCTCCTAGGCAAAGACTTAAGGGGTAAACAGATTCTATCTGTTGACCAGACTCGCACCCCTTCGTCATCTATTAGGCTGCCGCAGATGCATTTTTAATACATTGTTTCCAGTTTAGGATGTTGAACGCTGGATCTTCTTGACTCGATTCATGGGTTTTGCTTGTGTCTCTGTTTTTATGACTAGGCAATTCATTCTATTATCTCCAAATGAGGGTACAGCTCTAAAACTCAGTTTTATGGTTCTGAGGCCGGCTGGTAGTCAAGTTTCCCGAACTCTGTGGTAGCTCTAAAAGAGGCTGATTCCATCAACAGCTGAAAAATATCAGAGTACTAACAGTGCCATGTTGGGCATGGATGGTGTCCCTGTTTGTACTTTTGGTGTGCATTGCCAAGGCCACATTGGAGCCTTTTGTTACGGCTTAGGGTTTATTAGTGGAAATGAGGCAATTGCTTGAGCTATAAAACAGTGTACTGAGTACTATCAATGTTTCGAGTCAAGTTCTTTAACAAATTTAAAAATGAATAAAGTAACAAAAACTATAAAACACAAAAAACCACAGTCATCACCAAGTTCGCTAAACCTATCATTCACCAATATTCGTGGTCTTCGAAGTAACTTTTCTTCTGTTGAGTCTTATCTCTTGCAAAGTTCACCAGACTTGCTTGCTCTTTGTGAGACTAATTTGAGTTCAGCTGTCTCATCTTGTGATCTTAGTGTTAATGGTTATCTTCCTTTAATTCCTAAAGACTCCAATAGTCACATGCTTGGCCTAGGCATTTACATTCGTAAGAATTCACTCATTTGTCGGGAAACTAGGTTTGAATCCACAGACTACTCTTTTATGTGCTTTCGTTTAGCACCACTTCACTCTATCACCTTTCTCTTTGTTCTATATCACTCTCCCTCATCTCAAGACTGCACTCTTCTTGATGTTATTTCTGATTATATTGACCAAGCCCTCTCTATTTATCCATCAGCCAATATTGTTGTTGTTGGTGACATTAATGTTCATCACACTGAATGGCTTGGCTCAAGTTTCAGTGACTCTGCAGGCATTAAAGCCCACAACTTTTTCCTTTCTCTAACTCAAATAGTCAACTTTCCAACTCGCTTTCCAGACAACCCGAATCATTTACCTTCTCTACTCGACTTATGTCTTGTTTCTGATCCTAGTCAGTGTTCAGTTTCTTCACACTCACCCTTAGGTGCGTCTGATCATGGTTTGGTCTCTCTAAAACTATTATCTCATTCTTCTTTACCATTAAAATCCCCCTATCATCGTACATCTTACAACTAACTTAAAGCAGACTGGGACTCTTTTCGTGACTTTCTTCGTGATGGCCCCTGGGTAGAAATCTTTCGTCTCCCTGTTGATAAATGTGCTTCTTACATAACTTCGCGGATTCTGGCTGGCATGGAATCCTTTATTCCCTCTCGACGATTCCAGGTCAAGCCTCACTCTTCTTTAAAGTTTTCCTCACATTGTGCTGCTGCAATTGCCAATCGAAACCATTAATTCCATATCTATCAGCAAAACAATTCTCCAGAAAACAGACGTCTCTTTATTACTGCTAGGAACCATTGTAAAAAGATTTTGTCTAACGCCAAAACCCGCTATTCTCAGATCATGAAATCTCGTATTTCATCACAAAAATTAGGCTCTCGTGACTTCTGGAGAATCTTTAATAGTATCAATAATAAGGGCAATTCTGCAATTCCACCTCTTTTGTACGGTTCAGACTTTGTCACCTCACCTAAAGACAAAGCTGAATTGTTTGCCAAGAACTTTTCATTAATATCATCTCTTGATGCCACTAGTTGCGTTTTACCTGATATACCCGTCAAACAGGTCGATCCATCGCTCGACATTCGTATCACTCCAGCTTCTGTATCTAAAGTGATTTCCCACTTAGACTCTTCTACAGCTTGCGGCCCAGACAACATACCTGTTATAGTCTTGCAGAAGTGTTCTTCAGAGCTGTTGTCTATCTTTTCAAAACTATTTAACAAGTGCTTATCAGAGTCTTGTTTTCCAGCCTGCTGGAAAGCAGCATCTGTTATCCCTATTTTTAAAAATTCTGGAGAGCGATCTGACTCATCTAACTACCGTCCCATTAGTCTTCTTCCTATCATAAGCAAGGTTTTTGAATCTTTTATTAACAAACACTTAATCTCTCATCTCGAATCTCATAACCTACTTTCTGATCATCAGTATGGACTTCGATCTTCTCGTTCTACGGCTGATTTGCTATCAGTAATAACCGATAGGTTTTATCACGCATTAGATAAAGGTGGAGAGGTTAAGGCGATTGCTCTTGACATTTCTAAAGTGTTTGATAAAGTTTGGCATGCTGGTCTCCTCCATAAGCTTTCTTCTTATGGTGTATCTGGAAACATCTTTAAGATTATTGAATCCTTCCTTTCCAATCGTAGTATAAAAGTTGTCATTGATGGACAGCACTCTTCTTCTTATTCTGTAACCTCAGGGGTTCCCCAAGGTTCAATCCTTGGCCCTATACTTTTTTTAATTTACATTAACGATCTTCGAGATATTCTCACATCTAAGGTGGCATTGTTCGCTGATGATACTACCATTTATTCTTGTCACGATAAGAAGCCAACTCCCTCTGATTGCTTGCAGGGGGCATCTGAGCTCGAAAAGGATCTCACTTCTGCTACAGCATGGGGCTCGCAGTGGCTGGTGAACTTTAATTCAGATAAAACTCAATTTTGTTTGGCCAATCGTTATCGCAATAATTTAGACCTTCCTATATTTATGAATGGTAATGTACTTGATGAGTCTCCTACCCTTCATCTTCTAGGATTAACTCTTACTTCTGTTCTTTCTTGGAAACCTTATATCAAATCCGTTGCAAAATTAGCATCTGCTAAAGTTGCTTCTCTTTATCGAGCTCGTCACTTTCTTTCTCTAGATTCTATTCTCTATCTCTATAAATCTCAAATCCGGCCTTGTATGGAATACTGTTGCCATATCTAGGGCGGATCTTCTAATGAAGCCCTTTCTCTTTTAGACAAGGTGCAAAAACGCATTGTAAACATAGTTGGACCTGCTCTTGCAGCCAACCTTCAACCTCTGTCACATCGTCGTTATTTTGCTTCTCTTTCTCTTTTTTACAAATACTATAATGGGCACTGCTCTAAAGAGCTAGCGTCTCTTGTGCCATCTACTAAAATTCATTCGCGTGTTACTCGTCATTCACTTAAGTCTCATCCTTTTTCTGTTACTGTTCCTAAGTGCTCCAAAAACTCTTATTCGTCTAGTTTTTTTCCTTGAACATCAGTTCTTTGGAATTCGCTTCCTTCATCTTGCTTTCCTGATTCATATAATTTGCAATATTTTAAGTCATCTGTCAATCGTTATCTTGCTCTACAATCTTCATCTTTTCTCTTCCAGTAACTTCCAACACTAATTAGTGGTTGCTTGCAACCTTGTTGGAAGCGAAGATAATTTAAAAAAAAAAAAAATTGAGTTCAAAAACTTTATATTATATTAATTAACTTTAAGTAACTAATGTGTCAACTAAAGTGTTCATAAGGTGTTTTAAAGCGTTCTCTCATAGATTTTATTACATTTGGAATAATTTGTAATAGGCGAGGTAATTATTCTTCTTCAAATATTTTATTGATGAATAAAGTACTTATAGTATTTATTTTTTCAGCAATTTTCAGAACATTTTTCTAAATGATAATAGATTCATTTTTGCATTCTATACACATTTGTGTAAATAAATAAACATGCAAAATTGTAGATTTGTTTTAGGTAAGCATGACCAATTATGATATTATTTAAACTTATGTCTTGAAAAGTTCTAATCTTATATAAAAAAAGCATGTATTTAGCCATATAAATGTGATTTTATATAAACATGTATATAAAAAATATTGTATATACATGTAACACGTGTGTATGATAATATATGTAAAAATAAACAAATTATGTATAAATAAATAAAATAGTGTAACTATATTATATTATATATTATATTATTATATATAACTATATATATGAACTTAAAACTTAAACTTATTTAATAAAAATAAAAATAACATCAACCAACCTTTATCATCCCAATTCATAGAAAATATTAGTTCACCAATAAAACCACTGTCAGCAACCGCTTCTGGTAATTCTTTTTTAACATTAAATGCTTTGGCAATTTTTCCGATAGTCAAACTTGTTCCACTATTACGAAAATAAACATAACTTTTCTTGGGGTCGGATGCATCTAAGCCAAAATAACCTTGGAATTTAAAAAGCTCTTCAGGACCTCCATTAAGTTTACCAAGCCAAACTTCTGCACCCATCTCTAAAATTTTTTATCAAAAAGTTAAAAATCATATATTGTTCAATTAACACTATATAAAATGTTATACTATAAACTATATAAACAAGAAAAACCTGTTAAAACTTACAAACTAATAAATGATTGAGTTTAACAAAATTGTGTTAAGTTCAACACAAAACTCATATATACTTTACTTTAGTATCTTTATTTTGCTCTGAACATCTGTTCATAATATTTTTTTATTTTATATTTTTATTCTTTCTCTATTTCTAATTTTTTCTTTATTTCACTTGGGCTTGACAGCTCAGGCTAGTCCTTTGATGCATATTTTTATACTTTTAAAACAAGTTTACTTGTAAAACATGGTAGATAAATAAAATGAGTCTTTTACTTTAAGTTATCAAGTTTTATTTTTAAATCATCTTTTACTACTAATTCTTTTACAATATTTTACCAGCATAAAGTTATATCATACATCATAGAGTTGTTCAAAACAAAAAACTTGAATGTTTTGATTAAAATGTTTTAATTTAATTAAATTGTATTTTTTTTAGTCAAAGGCTTGTGCAATTACTTTTCATAATCACTGTTGTGTAATCACTATTCTTTGACTTTTTGTAATCACTGTTGTGCAGTCACTGTTCTTGTACTTTTTGTAATCACTGCTTGTGTAATCACTGTTTTTGAACTTTTTGTAACATTTTTATCTCAGAAGGACAGGTTTGGTTTTATCAAAACTTCCAAGCATAAGGCAAAATTATTTGCATACAACTTTTTTCTCCAATGATTTTCCTTATAAAATTAGCTCCATTTGCTGAGGATACTTTAGTATTTTTTTTGATGATACTTTAGTCTTAATAAAAAGTCATAACTTTTTGATCACATAAAACAAATAAAACTTAGAACAGACGCTCAAAGTAGCTGTGAATTTTAAACAAAATGAAACTCAATTGTTTACTGTCAATCATTATAGCAATGACAAAATTCTTACTAACTCCAACAACTAATTTATTGGTTTGCTTGTTAGCTACCTAACTGAAGCTTTTGTTGAATTGTCATAAGGTTGGATCTATTTCTCTTTTCTACATATACTACAAATTTTGCAGCTCACTCATATAATCTACATTTTTTATGTTCATTATCAACTGTTTTCTTCCCCAGATCTCTACTTTCTTGCAAGTTCAACAGTAAGTTAGATAGTGAATATAATTGAACTTGTTTTTAAAAAACATTTTTACTAAAGATTTTTTTCCAAAAAGAACATTGATTTTCAACCCTTTTTTTATTTTTTTTTCCTATTTGAAACAGCTTAAATCTTTCTTTTATTTTAAAAGATCATAACTCTCAAAATTTCAATTTTTATTAACATGATTTTTAGCTAATATTAAATGTATACGATAATGCTAATAATAATAAATTAACAAAAACAAAAATAACTATTAAATACCAATGGATGGAAAAGCAGTCTTCAAATCAAGTCCAAATGCGAAATTAATATTTCCAACAGCAAGCCATTGTACCTCAAATGGTTTTTCAATCATACCTTTCATAGACCCACCAAAACTTAACTTTCCACAGGGATCAACTTTAATAAAACCTAGATAAGAAGAAACTCATGGTATACAACATACACATGAAATTTAGTTTACAAAATTTAAAATAAAAGTATTTTTTTGTTAGCTGTTTTAAAACTTGTTCTATCATAACAAGATTTTTTATTTTATTTTATTTTTTTCTAAATCTATATATCTTGTGATCTTGAAAGTTATATATCTTGATCTAACTTTAGCTTTTACTGCCAGTTTCTCTGACAGTAGAAGTTTACCTTCTTGAAACATTTCTGCTTCTTTTAAAATTGTAATAAAAAATTTAGTCTGTTCTTAAAATCTAAAAGTATAAAGAATCCCCCTATCATTACGGTATCAGGAGCAACACAATTCAAAAATTAAAAAACAATGAAATTAATAATTGCAAAAAGTCAGTTAAAAATTTATTTTATAAAACTTATTTAAAATGCTCTTAATTTAAACTTATGTAAACATGTCTCTAAACAATAAGTTGAATGGTCTAGCAATTTAAAACTTTCAACATAAAGTTTAAGTTGAAATTATGCATGAAACTTAATGGTCAGTAATAATATATCTACAAATACTATTTGCTTTAATCTATTAGGAAAAGGTATAGACAATAGACAAAACAATATAAATTCCTACATCAAAGGCAATGATATAATTAACTCTAAAATAATAGAGCAAATTTAGAGTATTATTGAGATTGGCTTACAAAAAGATTATTTGTAAGTGTATCTATTGTCTGGGATCATTTATCAAAATGGAAAATTTAGCTAAAATTTACTCAATTAAACAAGTTAGCAATTTGTATCATAAAACTAGATGCATAAAGGTATCCTGCTATGCAAAGATTGAAAATGTGAAACTATAGATCAAAAAATTGGGATGAAAACTACAATTTACTTATTTACAATAAGATTCGTTTTTATTATTTTTATTAAAAGTTGAAAGTTACTAGAAAACAAAGAATAGAGTTAAAGAGCAAGGAAACAGTTGACAGAAGACTTGAAAAGTTGTAGGTTGTATGAGTCAGGAAAACATGAGAAAGTTCCAAAGGATTGAAGTGTAGGTAGCTAAAAATATATGAATAAAAGTTATTAGTGCATACAGGGACAGATAAATTAAAAAAAAGATGTGACTTAGCTGAACAACGATTCAAGCAAAAATAAGTTTTTATTGATGGAACTAGAGATAAAAACTTCTTTGAGCAGCAACAATAATAGTATTTGAAGAAAAAAGAAAGAGATGCAATCTTATGATGATGATATGCTCGAGCTTTGCAGATAAAGCAGATCTAACAATACATTTTTGAATCTTGTCTAGAAAAGAAAAACCATTATAAGAAGAACCATCCCAAATATGACAACAACATTTTATACAGTGACAAATAAGAGGTTTGTAAAGGTAAAGAATATAATCATGAGTAAAATAATAGCAAGCATGATAAAGAAAAGCAACCTTAGCAGATGATAATTTTGCAAGTGTATATATGGTTTCCATGAGAGGTTAGTAATGAACGATAATACAAGAAGACTTATAGAAAAAGACACAGTGAGAGAGTTGCCATTCATTAATATAAGAATGCTGATAGTACTGAGATAGTAATAGTTTTGTTGGAGTTCAAATTTACAAGCAACCGCAAGCCCCAATATGTACAGAAATGAGATCAAATTCAAAACTGGGTGATTGTTCCAAGCAACTGAAAAGAGAAAACCTTTTGTCGTGACAAAAGTATAAAATTGAGTTGTTAGCAAATAGAGCCGTTTTAGATGTAATGTTGTTCAGAATATCATTAATTTAGATAAGAAACAAAGCAGGACCAAGTAGTTTACAGCAGTTAGCAAGTCAGCTGCAGAGCAAGAAGTGCAATAACCATATAGTCTGATAATAATTTTATGATGGAATGTTATAAAATAGTTGATCAAAGATTCAAATAATAGAGAGAGGATTGATTGAAAGATCAAACGATTGGAGGGATTAGAATGTTTTCCAGATTTCTTAAAATTTGAACCACAGATGCCACTTTCCAGTGGGTAAGATAACAAGATTCAGTCAAGTACTTATAAAATAATTTAGAGAGAATTAAAAGATTTTGGATTGGAAAACAAGCTTTAGTAAACTGGGAATAATAAAGCTTAACACCAGACAGCAGCTTTTTACATTGATTTCAAACTATAATAAAAAGGCTTTTTTTTATTAAGGGAGTTATTCTTTTAAAAAAGATAAAAATAATGATTGGGATTAGATATAGCAGCAACAAGAAGGTAAAACCATAAAGTAGAATGAGGCTTGATTTGGAACTAACAAGAAGAAATAAAGCTCCCATAAATTATGTATTGGTTGAAGTATACGAATATTTGATTTTGAAATAAAATATTTGGGATTCAGAGCAAAAATAGCATTAGATTCTAAACTAAATCCTAAATATTACACTCATATATTAACAGTAAAACATCAAAAAAGAAATTAATAAAAGTATAATAATAATAATATTTAATAATATTGCCCCAATACTGGTATTGGGGCAATATTATTAAAATGATATCAGACTGAGATCAGAAAAATTACACTACAGAGATCAGAAAAATTACACATTGCTTTGGTTTAAATTAACAAAATGACAGTTATCGACTGAGATTAAGTTCAGTTATCTTAACTTAAGATTAACAGCAACAGTAATTTTATTGACTTAATTGTAAAATAACCCAAAATTAGTTAAAGTTCGTTTGACAAAAAAATCTAAAAAACTATTATTTCTCAAATTGTATTTATTTATAGGTTATATAAAATTTTCTTTAAAGACAGATTGGAACATTTTTCCACATGTATTCAAAGTTACAGTTTTCAGTTTTTTTGATATTGGATGTTTTTTTATTTTTTTTGAAAGATCATCTGATAAAAAATAATTACTTCAATAACATAAAATTTTTTTTTTTTAAAATAAAATAATTTAATAAAATCTGAAACAAAAAACAACTCAAGATTTTATGAATAGTAGTTTAAAACAAAAAATATTTTACAAAAACTGGAATATCGAGCACAAAAAGAATCAAACAACTATATTTCAATAATATTTTTTAAAAACTTAAATTAAATAAAATCTTATTTTATAAAAATTTGGGATTTAGAGCAAAAATTGCATTAGATTCTAAACTAAATCCTAAATATTACACTCATATATTAACAGTAAAACATCAAAAAAGAAATTAATAAAAGCATTGATACTGATGGAACTCAAGAAATAGTTAAACTACTACAGATGGAACTATGATTAAAAAAAATAAAAAATAAAAAAGAACTATGATTCAACAAATACCTGAAACGTTATTGAAAAGTTGTTTATTATTTTGAATGCCTGAATTCAAGCTTTACAAGAGCAGTTATTAAAATTGATATTTATTAAACTCAATGTTCAAAAAAACTGTTGGATTAAAAAAATTAAAAATTAAAAAAAAAAAACTGTCAGATAATGTTAACCCTAAACTTCTCAAAATGTGTTCTAAATCATCCACAGGCCTTTATTCAACTTTATTTAACAAGTCTTTCAAAACAAGTGTTGTTCCAGACCTTTGGAAAAAAGCAAACATCATACCCCTAATTAAAAAAGAAAGATAACTTAAACCATCTAATTATTGCCATACTAACACAATATCACAAACTTGGGTTGTATGTAAATTAATAGAATGTACAAGATCATAATTATAATTTAAAGAAAAATTTAAAGGAAGAAATTTAATCTCACAAAACATGAATTTTAATGATTTAATCTAAATGTTCAAATTATTAAAAAAAAAATAATAATAAATAGACAAATTGAACTTGCATAACCCAATAGAATAATTTAACACTAATGGTCATGCATGAGATCATAACTTAAAAATACATAAAGTTATTTTATTAAGTATATAAAATTACTGCATGTTGAACAAGCATTTTTTATATTATTAGAGTTTAACATTAAATTATTGTTACACTTCTTTCTTTATTGTTTTATAGACTAAAATTCTACATAATTATAGCTTCAACTTGTACAAGTTACGGTGTCATTTCTATTCCATCATATGTGTATCAAATTATATCATATCAAAAACTTTAATCCACAGTAGTAAACATATGAAATAAACAATAACATAAATAATAAAAAGAAAATACCATATATGCAATAGAAAAACAGATGCAATAATATGTATATATGCATATATATATATATATATATATATATATATATATATATATATATATATATATATATATATATATATATTTAAACAATTTTTTTAAAAAATATATTCTACAAAATAGAGTGCTCAATGTTCTTAAAAGAACAGAGCAATTATAAATTAGTAGAAAAGCACTTTACAAAAATTTTTTTTCATTTTATACTGTGTTTCATCAACAAAGACTCATCAGAAAATCTTTTCTGATGAGTCTTTGTTGATGAAACACAGTGTAAAATGAAAAAAAAAATTTTGTTAAGCGATTTTCTACTAATATATATATATATATATATATATATATATATATATATATATATATATATATATATATATATATATATATATAAAATCAGTTTTAAAACAAAAAATATGGTGTAAGGATTTCACCTGAAATTACAACCACTGGATAAGTTAAGTGAAAATCACATTCAATAGAAATAGAACTTTCGCTTCCAAATTTCAACACCAAAGATACTCTTTTGAGAAATAGTGATTTACTTAAGGCTATTTGACCATTAACAGATGCTACAATTGTGAAACTTAAGCCTGCTATAAAAATAAAAAAGAGTTTTAACAAATTTATTAAAATTTTTGAAATTTATAAATTCTTAAATAAAGTTATATCATTAATGATGCAGCCAAATTAGGTAAGGATTTGAAACTTGAAAAGTCTTTAATATAACAGATTTTCAAGTACAACCAACATCACATTATTGCAAACAGTATATTTTAAAGTAATATGATATGATAATATAAAGTTATTATTTTTATTTTTAGTATTTTTATTTTTTTACAAAATATTGAATATTTTCAATACTATAAAAATTTGGATTTTCAATAGTAAATTAAAACTAGAAAATTATATTTTTCAAAATTTTCTAACAAGTTTAGGTAATTTTTCAGATTAAAATATATTTTTTATTTAATGAACAAATAATTTTAATTTAATCTATAAATCTAAAAGAAAAAAAAGATTTTTTCTTTTAGATTTATAGATTAAATTAAAATTATCAAAAAATCCCAAATAAAGGTTTTGAAAAAAATTAATTCTAAATTTTAAATTAGATTACATTTAACTTGAAGGTAATGATTGCTTATAAAAAGGTAATGATTGTTTATAGAACTTGTGTTAGTAACAGGGTTGCAAAAAAACCGTTTTTTTTTTTGAAAAAAACCAAAAACCATAGGTTTTTTAAAAAAAACAAAAACCATGGTTTTTTTGGTTTAAATTAGGTTTTTACTAAAAAAGGCGGTATTTAGTTATCCATTTAAATTAAAAAAAGCATAACGTATTTCATTTGAGTAAACTATATTTTTTATCAATATTATTGTTATATTTCATCAAAATTATTTAATACATCATTGTTTAATGTTCTATATATAAATACAAGCTTTGCTGCTTTTTCTACTGTCAATCAGTTTCTTAACTTAGAATGAACAAAACCAATAGTTGAAAAAATGCTTTTGATTCCAGCACTAGAAGCTGGTGCATTTAATAAACCTTCAATATCCATTATGTTATAGTAGATTTGGCTTTTAATTTGAATAATATTGGTAACAAACTCTTGAACTCTTTATCTGCGAAATTCATGGCAGGTTCATTTTCATTTTCAGAAATATTAGATCCAAAATATCTAGGATCTAGTGTGTTTGCCAAGAAATGAGCATCACTGACAGTCTGAAGGTATCTAGATTCAAAGTTTGTTTTTTTGTTTGTTTGATAAAATTGATAAACTGTTCATCAAATCTTTAAAAATTTCAAGAGTCACTTATTTTTGTTTAATCTCTTTGCAACTTATCTAGAGCTAATGCAATTGGTTTCAATATTTTCAATAAATCTTCTGTGTTTTGCTTTATCTGTATATCACTTACTTTTTTACCAATCACGGGATCCAAGTCTTTACTTTTTTCAAACATTGTAAAAATAATGGTCCATTTGTTGACATATTTTTCAAGTGAATCACATACAGAATTCCAGTGAGTTTCAGTAGGAAGTGGCAATTTTGTTCCTCTGCTTAATTTATAAAGTGCTCCAGCTTGATGATTATTTCTTATATATTTTATTAGTGTAACATGCTTGCTCACATTTTCAATGTTAAGATCATTTGCTAAAAAATTCAGCATATGAGGAGCACACCCATAAGTTATGACAATATCTCTTACAGATAACAACATTTGTCTCATTGATTTCACATTAGCTGCATTGTCAGTCACAAAGCTTTTTACTGTGCATCCAAATTTACATCTCACAAAATCTATTGCTTCTCTTGCTAATTGTGTAAGATAATCACCAGGATGTTAATGACCAGAAGTGTTGATTGTTTCTACTAAAATGTTAATTTTATCTGTAATTACAGAAATACAAACTATAGGTTCATTATGTATATTACTCCAGCCATCTAAAGACATGGCTACAATTTACCCATTCAATACATTACATTTTTCAATTTCTTCTGTGTAAACCCTATTTAATATTTCTCCCCCAATTTCTGTTCTATTAGATAGAGTGTATCCTGGATGAAGCATATTGATAATATATATCTATATTGAAGATTAGTTATATTTGTGAACGTAATCCTGTCTTAGTTTCCTGTTGTAAGTTCAAATCTTTTTAAAAAAACATTAGTTTGGTTTAAACCAACATTTTTTAAATTGGTTTAAACCATGGTTTAAACCAATTTAATATATATATATATATATATATATATATATATATATATATATATATATATATATATATATATATATATATATATATATATATATATATATATATATATATATATATGTAAAATATGTGTATATATATATACATATATATATATATGCATATATATATATACATATATATATATATGTGTATATATATATATACATATATATATATATATATATATATATATATATGTATATGTGTGTGTATATATATATATATACATATATATATATATGTGTATATATATATACATATATATATGTGTATATATATATACATATATACATATATATATATATATATATATATATATATATATATATATATATATATATATATATATATATATATATATATATATATATATACATATACATATATATATATATATATATATATATATATATATATATATATATATATATATATATATATATATATATATATATATATATATATATATATATATAAATATATATATATATATATATATATATATATATATATATATATATATATATATATATATATATATATATATATGTATGTATGTGTGTGTGTGTGTGTGTGTGTGTGTGTGTGTGTGTGTGTGTGTGTATTGCTCATCATGATACCAGGTCCTAATTACAGCATTAATTAGCTTTGCATTGTCGAACAGTCTTCTTTCAGGAGTCTTTGTTTGATTATAGCCCATAAGTTTTCAATGGGATTAATGTCTGGAGAATTTCCAAGCCAGTCTAAAATCTCCAGTCCACTTTCTTCAAAGAATGTGCGCATTTTACGTGAAATATGGGATGGTGAGTGATCCTGCTGAAAAATGCCATCTCCATCAGGAAAGTCCCTTGTCATACTAAGAAGCAAATGAGTCTCCAAAATAGCCTTGTATTTATCACTATTCATCATTCCCTCTACGTTAATGAGTCGTCCAAGGCCTTTAGCACTAAAACTACCCCGAAACATCTTCTTAGGTGGATGTTTGGGTGCTTGTTGAATATGTCCTGACCAAAGCGGTTCACCTTCGCTTCGTCTCACAAACTTTGACCTGTAGCCATGGACTTCAAAATGCAATTCGTCCGAGAATACTTCTTTTTTCCAGTCGCCTGCTGTCCATTGAGAATACCTACGTGCCCATTGAAGACGTTTTATCTTCATAACCGATGTCAATAACTGTTTCTTTAGAGGTTTTCTGGCAAATCTGCCAACTTCAAGGAGCCTTCGTCGGATTGTTGAAGAAATATTTACGCCTGATGTGGACAAATCTCTCTGAAGGTCTGCACTTGTTTTCTTAGGATCCTTTATACTTTCTCTGATGATAACTGTATCATCGCGAGGTGTTGTCTTGCATTTTCTTCCACACCTTCCTTGTCGCAGTCTTGAAGATTCACCAGTGTCTTTTTTTCTTTTTAAGATGGTGAGCATTAGACAGATTTCTAAGAAAATGAAGGTGGTTAAGTCAACCAACGGTTGACTTAACCACCTTCATTTTCTTAGAAATCTGTCTAATGCTCAAACCAGCATGTTCTTTAAGAGCTATAATGCTTGCGGATTTCTTATGAGTGATATCCATTGTAAATACGAGGTGAATAATCCGTCACAACCTTTCTGCACAAAGCCTGGAGTAGCACTGAAGCCACTGATGCGTTTGTTAGAATGTCTTCCCGGCAGCAAAGAGTTGCCAGACACCACTAGACTACAGTAAAACACTTATCTGAAAAAACAAGAGAATCTTTTGTATCATAGCTCAAAGTTGGACATATTGTGAAAATTATTCCAATTTTGCCACTGTCTGAACTAATTTGTTCAATACTGTATATATATATATATATATATATATATATATATATATATATGTGTGTGTGTGTGTGTGTGTGTGTGTGTGTGTGTGTGTGTGTGTGTGTGTGTGTGTGTGTGTGTGTGTGTGTGTGTGTGTGTGTGTATATTCACATTTAGAGGGTGAGTGCAAATTATTTTCAAAAATGTTGTTTTTGGGGACACCCTAATATATATATATATATATATATATATATATATATATATATATATATATATATATATATATATATATATATATATATATATATATATATATAACAATTTCAATTGCATCTGCTAAGGTTACTAAATCACAAGGTTACTAAATTTTTTTTCAGAATCCCCTGAACTTTTGAAAGTACTTCAAATATTGTCTGGAGAATGTTTCTGGGGACTTTAAGTAGCCATGTACCACTCCAACAACAATCGATCCGAGACTTGCAAATACTTTAGTGAATTACAACATGATACAACAAGTTTAATCTCAAACTTGCATACCATCAACTACAAATATCAATGACCTGCTTAACCTAGTAATAAATCGCCATGATGACATTTTACTCAACAATATTCAATTAACAGATGAGGGTATTTTACACCGCTATATGGTTTAGATAACACTCTAACATCAACCTTTAAAAAGTAAAACTGTTTGATTTTTGAAATTTTAAAAAAACTAAACTTATCATGTTTTATAGAAGTAATGCAAGTGATGCTATGTTGTTTATTACCTGAAATTAATGTGGATAATTATACTAAACTAATTGTTATAATAAAAAACTTAACTAAACACATGTATTCAAACTTTGTTTTGTCAAGTAATTTTTTGTCAGTATTCCATGTTTGTTTTTGATTACCACAGGTAATCAAAATGAAACATGGAATACTGATAATAATAGAATAAGATTTAAAACAATTTTTTTAGTAATTTTTCCTTATTCAAGATTGCTTAAATGACATCCTCCCAAAATTTCACGACAAACACCTGACCTGACCTGAAACAGTGTTAAGGACAAACAGT